AGAGAGAATTGAGGAACTTAAGGATATATTAGATCCAACTATATGTTTTAATATAACTTTGATCAGATAGATTGAAATAGTTTCCACATTCGATCTTTCTAAATATCGTATAACTGCTTTAATGTATAGAATGTTTCAATTTATTGGAGAAGTTCTTTCTTCTGTGATAACAGTCCTCCAGGAGTCAAACCCTTCAATTTCAGACCTCTTTGACACAATAACTGGATCTTTGTTTCTTTTGAATAAAGTGAATGGGTCTTTTTATTTTAGGATTTGACCTATTGTGTCAGTTTACATATGCACAAGCAAACTGACACAGTCCAAATGTGAGGCTAATTGTAACCAGGATATTGTTTCAGTGAACTTAGACAACACTTGGCCTTAATCTAGATGGAGGAGGACATTTGGGAATAGCTATCTGAAAAAAAACCGTGCTGAGCCCAATAAAATCATTTTAAAGAGGAAGCCGTTCAGGTGCAAATTTTTGCAATGTCTTAATGAAATCAACAAACCAACGATTCCATTGTGCCCAGTAGAAGCGTTTTATTTTCAAGAACTGATACTGAAAAGTATAAGGAATGCTACAATGAAGCTTACATGAGACATAGAAGCCAGTTACTTCAGAAGCATTTCGTCAGGTGTTTTTTTTCTCTGATCACCTAAGTTATTGAAGTAATTTTGCTATCTGCTTTCACGGCATGTTTCAAGTTTTAAAACATCAATTCATCAGCGGGAGTGCTATGGAAAATGCAGAAAAGCGTCAATTTGACGTTATCCGAAGTTGTAGCCTAAGATAACCAGTCCCAAATCAAGCTCTGCAGTCCTGAACTCCGACTGCTTTAATATCAGGCTCTGTACACCAGTGCCTAGTCAGAAAACATTACACAAACTTTCACTGAACAATTCATTCAAATGAGTTATTCTATTCAGGGGCAATGACCCTTCACAATTCATTTAAAAAAACCCTCACGCCTTCCCGTCGCACTAAAACAGAAGCAACCATGTGTTGACATATCTTACTTAGAAATCTTAATCCACCCGCCAGCCAAACAAACACAATGTTTACTGCAAAACTCAAAACACCAGAAAACAATGGTAAAAAGAGGGTTAGATGGGCTTAGTTTGGAGTTGGTGTGAGTAATTGAGCCAATTAAATCATGAGCAAAATAAAAACTCTTGAAGTGTGGAAGAATCAGATTCATGTTCACTTACATCTGCCATCCCTTATAAATAATTCAGGGCATAAAACAAAAGTATAAACATTCGGACATTAATTGTGCTGCGAATAAACAGAATGACGATTACTTTTTGTTTATGGTAAGTTTGTGGTGACGTTCCCATTAAAAAAAAATGAATGCTTTGTAATTTATGATGTTTCAATTTCCGAGAGAAAAACTCGACGGAAACCCAAATGTGGCTTTGATGGACTGAGGCGCAAAATGAAAAAAAAACAACCTTAGTCCTTTCTAAACCATTCACAACTTGAAAGCTATTCATCGTGGCCCAGTGATTTTTCCTCTAAAACAGAATGATAATTTTAACGAGCACTAAATTCGAAATTAGAACGGGGTGAGGAAGTGGAAACCATATTTATCGTAAACATAGATCAGAAGGGATTGCGAATGTTTCCACCTAAACTTAAGTGAGGCATTAACTGTTAACATAAGAACGTCCTTGAATCGAGCTCGTCATTAAATGGATTTGACTGCATTTATTTACCGGTATCAGGGTTTTAACTCAAATTAAAATCCAAACATGTTATGAGCATGTCTATTCTCCTGAAGAAAATGCGAGCTAAAGCTTTCTAGAGACACTGATAATCATGACCAGGTTTCTTCCCTCTTATAGTTGACAACACCACTAACTTGTCTTTAGGTAACTGCTGTGCCTCCATAATACTTGCATTTATATTGCACTTTACAGAACCGCTGAATGCCTTAATTTTACGACCATTTGTTGAGGTGCTGTCACGGTTGTAGTTATTTCTGATCAACCTGTTCAGATGGAGTATGTCATACTGCTGGAGCAGGTGGGACTTGAACACTGACCTCCTGGCACAGAGGTAGGGACACTACCAGTGCACCACAAGAGCACCTAAGTTACTGTTGTAATCTGGGTGCAGTGAGACATAGGCAGGCCCTTCAAAGGAGCACCATCGACACATTCTAACGCCCAGGCACATAAGGAGATTTCAGGACATATAACCAAAAGCTTGATCAGAATGGATTTTTAAAGAGTCTCGCAAGAGGTTGAGAGGCGAGAGATTTTGCAGGGAATTCCAGCGTTTAGGATCAAGAAAATTAAAATCAGCGATGCACAAGAGACCAGAATCAGAAGGAGGGCAGATAAATCAAGATAGAGATGGACAAGCCCATGGGGGGGGGGGGGGGGTGAAAATTTGAAAAAAAAATAAGAATTTTGAAAGGTGACCTTCCAAATCTGAAAGCCCCTGTAGGTCAGTAAACACAGGAATAACGTGTGAACGGGATTTAGTCCAAGTTGGGGAATCAAAGATTCTCTACAGTGTGGAAACAGGCCATTCGGCCCAATAAATCCACACACCCCCTCCAGATCCATTCGCCTATAACCCTGATTTCCCATGTCTAATTTACCCATCCCTGGACACTATAGGATAGCCAATCCACCTAACCTGCACACCTTTGTGAGAGTGGAAGCAAACCGGACCACCCCGTGGGGAATCCACAAACTCCACACAGACAAGTCGACTGAAGGTAGGACCGAACCTGGGTCCTTTACGCTAAGAGGCAACGCTGCTCACCACTAAGCTACTTCGGAAGTAACTACTGTAACTTCGTTTCCCGCTAAGTTAATCATTCACTGCTTTCATAAACCTACTGATTTGGACTTCGTTAGAAGACCACCAAAATTTAACCTAGCCCTGCGCAACCTGTAATGCGTTGATTTCATGTAACTATCTACAATTACATGAGAAAGCTAGTGAACTGGATAAGCGTGCCAATAAATAACTGAATGTCACATGATTTAGAAATCATTCTGAGCGCTTGACATATATAGCGGTATTTTAATTAACCATTTGAATTGAATGGCAATTGCCTAAATTTCTAACTTTAATAATTTGTCTTCCAACTTATCCCAGAAGATTTCATTGTGAGGTGCAAACACAAAAATCCCCATACATCTTACTACTGTCCTTTAAAGGACATCATTTACTTCAAAGGGATCGTTGGCACAATGTATATAGTTACTTAACAGAGAGAGGTGTATTCATTTAAGAGGCACTAAAAGTGGTCTCGCAAACCAGAACGTCCTGCTGATGTGATGCAGCCGTCGTCCCGTCCTCACTTCGCCAAACCTATTTATGACAATTTGATGAGACAGTTGACTTTGGCATTTTCTGAAACTCAAATTTAAAAACTGTTCGCTCCGCACGTTCCCCTGCTCGCTGAATTGCACATTTGCTGTGGCATTTATCACCCCCACCCCCACCCCAATTCGATCTGGCATGTGCTTGTATTAACAACAATCTATTTTGAAATATAAACTCATATTTGTCTAGTATCTTGATTTGAAATATTCACTGTCCCATTTCGATCACTGAAGCTGGCACATTGCCTAACCCGAGTATAACATTAATTGATTTGATTTGAAATATATCAAATATGAGAGCAAGTTGTTAGAGGTGGACCAGCACCAGTACGATCTGTAGGGTCCGCCGGACTTTAAATAGTTGGAGGAATACATGCTTTAAAGTAACAGCTCATAGTCCACAAATTGACTGGGGTCTATAGAATCGACGTATTTTCCTCCTTTATGGAAGTCTTGGGCGATTTTCAAAGACACATCTATAATAAAGAAAGTACAGACTTTCGTTGTTACTGTTGCCAATCACATTTTGCGTTATCCTTTGGTTCCCTCTTCCTGGGGCAGCACTGGGATTAGCCGCTTTATCACCAACCTCATAAAGAAACGCAGCTGGTTACGTTTGGTCAGCCTGACACTTGCTGTGAAACCACGACAAGAATTTCATCAAGTTGGCAACAATAAAACAAAAGAGCAACAAAAGAAAGCAAAGCCTAATGGAAGTTTTGAGAAGTCTTTTTTTTAAAAAAAAGGCTTTCGGGTCCATTCTGGTAAACTAAGTGATGGCTCGAGGTTCTTTTGGAGGGGGTGGGGGGGTTGACTGATGATGAAGGGTGTGGGCTGTTTTGTTCTTTGTGGTGGGGATGTGTCAGGAAACTCATTGAATATGCTGATCTGCCCCTCGTGCTGTTATGTAGTGCAGCGCCAAGGCTTGACCCCGGTGCTGTGCCGTACCAACACCGAGCCGCCCTGAGCATGAATAGTCCCCTGCGGTCGCTTGCATCACCAGACTTAGAAATAACGAAATCGAAGTTATGCCTCTTGTGATAAATAGCAAACAGGCATCACAATTGGCAGAATCGTAAAATGATCACACACATACACACACAATTAACAGTGCAAGTTACTGACACGTATCCAGTTGACCAAAAGCAATGTAAAATATAAACGATTCACTGCTGATAAGAAGTTGTGTTATCTAAATGGGGAGGGGGGCAGTGATAAATGTCGCAGTAAATGTGCAATTCAGCAAGCAGGGGAACATGCAGAGCCAACAGTTTGTATAAAACTTTCCTAACTTATTTCATAAATGCATTTTCTAGAATGAAAGGGTTTTCATATTTGAATTTCAGAACATACCAAAGTCAACTGTCTCGTTTAGAAAATCGGAATGAAGTGCAAAGATTTCTTTAGGTGGCTGTGCCAGTTTTTTTCTCCTAACCTATTGTTTGTCAGTACTGTGCTAATAACGGTTTAGTAGGGCATGCAGACATCTCCCTGTTAGAGGACTGGTGCTGAGTTATGCTGCTTCCGGGGCCTGGGTGCAGAGAACCTTAGTGCTGAACGGTTTTAGTGCAAACGCAATGTCCCAACTCTCGAACACGCCTTTTCCCAACTAGCATCAGGAGGAGGGAAAAAAGACAGCTCGGAGACCTACATCAACCAGGTTCCACAACCTTTACTTCCAAAGCCAGCTTCACCAGAAGCTGGAGAAGACTTCAAAACAAGGCTGCAGCATGGCCGGCCAGACGTTCTCACTTTTTCTTCTGGGAACTTTGCTTATAGTTCATGGTAGTTCAGAAGGTAAGAAGGTGCATAAGTTTGGCAACTTTTTATTTTTGGATATTTATTATAGCTATTCTGGTGAAGTGAATGATGAGTGTAATTTTACTCAATACGTTATTCAGACTTTTAAAATAAAATTGCACTTTGTACATTTCTAGCATTACTTTTGTTGGAGTACAGCCTTTGGTATTTAAGAGATTTAGATATCAATTAATTTCAGATTATTCTGGAATACAATATTAACCAGTAAGTTTAAAATAGTTTAACAGGGAAGAAAATAGCTAAGTTTAACAATTTAGTTAGCACTCAAAACTAACAGCTTTTCAAATTTACATTTACTGAAGAAATGAGCGAAAAGTACCAGGTAAAAACGCACGTTGATAGGAACCGTACGGCAAAATTCCGCCATTGACAATAAGCCGCATCGGTTCAACGGAAGTTCACGATTTTTCTAAAATAGTTTTGTAACTGAAAGAAACGATGTAATACGTTTAATTTCGACAAGATGACCCATGCATCAGGTGAAAAGTTTTACTGTTTTTCACCACAATTTCACCACAAACCGATATTTTCTCTGTTGCACAAAGTTCCACTCAGCTGAAGATTTGCAATTTCTTCCTGGCGAACTTTTAGTGAGTTCCCTTGTTGCTAGGTAACATTGTTGCGCATGTGACTAGCAGACATAGCGAATCTGTTAATTGGTCTAGTGCCATTAAGCTGACTTCCAGATCCCTTTTCTACATAGTGTTGGCGAATTCATCACTCACTTTCCTCCAGCCACCGTTATGTTACAGTGTGACTTCACGTCCCTTAATTGTGTAGGGAGATGTTGGAAATATTCTAAGAGCACCGTGTCTTGGGCACTGCTGCAACACTGTTGTGCGGTTCTCAAACTGCTCCATCTCTAATCTCTTTCCATGGCCAGTGTAATCTCCTTACAGTAAATCAAGTAACTAATTATACTACAGCCGCTCGAGAAAAGCAGACATCCTGTTTCAGAAGGCTTTTCGGTGTAACGCTGGGTTAATATTCTTTGTTCTGACTAAAGGGTTAACCTCTTTGGAAGAGTAATTGCTTTAAATTACGCCTTAGTTTAAGGAAGAACATTTACTGTGCTCGGAAAGTACCTGCTCAAGTTTTATTTTGTTCCGGGGGGGTAACCACGCAATCTTTAATTGGCGTGATTGTATGTTGTTTCCAGGATTGCAATTATTGGGTTTCAAATACGTGTGTGGTGTCACATTCAATGGAGATGCATCATTTTTCAGATTTCTTGAATTTTGCAGATTATCAAAGCTGAGCCTCGTTTATGCACATCTGATGGATGCCAGTTTCTCACACACACTTTCAAAATTTGTTTTTGATATAAAATCACAAACTCAAGTAAAAAACTACTGCTGATCTTAGAGGGTGATATGTACAAAAATATATACCTTTTCCAATATTTTCTATTACTGACCCACAGCTTGAGTTCTTCACAAACCATCCAGCTGCACATCAGATTTTAGGATACTAGAGTTATACTGTTGCCTGTGACTGGAAACAAGTTTGAAATCCCATGTTGTATGCCTTCATTTCTCCTCACTAATATTCACTTGGGTCAAGACTCTGAACTGGTACTAGAGTAATACTGTAATTTTTACATTATTGCAAAGCAGAACCCACTTTGAATAATGCAGGTGCCAGTGTTTACATAAGGTATCTCCATTTAAATGCAAGACAGAAATATGCTATTTTGTTTATTACTTCAAATCAAGCAAGGCTAAAACATTTTCTACTCTAATTTGGCAGGTAAGTAGCAATACATGCATACCACATTAGTAATAGATATTGTAGAACAATTGCAAAACAGCAATCACTAGTAAACAAGTAAAAAGCAGAAAAAAAGAACTGCGGATGCTGGAAATCAGAAACAATTAGAAATCTCTCTCTCTCTGGTCTCCATCTAATTATTGTTTACTACTTCTCCTCTCCCACCCCTTCTCTACCGTAGATACCAATCATCCTCGCTACAGTCAGTTCCAAAGAAGGGTTCCTGGACCCAAAACATTAACTCTGCTTTCTCTCCACAGATGCTGCCAGAGCTGCTGAGTTTTTACAGCAATTTCTGATTTTGTAGCAATCACTAAGACATTAACTTGATATTTTAACATCTTTATAATCATACTTTGACCCTGCAATGATATCAAAACCTGAATAGCTAGGTAACTTCATGAAATTTTAATATGCATACTGTTTGATTCTTCTGTGATTTTATTGGTAAGACTGATATATGCTTTGATGAAATTATCCCTCACTCTTCTCAACTTTAGAGTATATAGTTCCAATCTCCTCTGTCATGCCTCTTAGGTTAGTTGCATCATTCCAGGAATTATCCTAATGAACCTCTGCTGCACTTTCTCTATTGTACACCTCTATATTTGTACTCAAATCATCTTACAATAAAGGTCATGTGTCTTCCTGATTGAAAGTGGGGGGGGGGGCGATGGTATCATGGTATTATTGCAGACTATTAATCTAGAGACCCAGATAATGTTCTGGGGACCTGGGTTCAAATCCCACCATGGCATATGGTGGAATTGAATTCAATAAATATCCAGAATTAAAAATCTGATGATGACCATGAATCTGTTGTCAATTGTTGGGGGAAAAAAACCCATCGAGTTCACTAATGTCCTTTTAGGAAAGGAAACTGCCATCCTTACCTGGTCTAGCCTACATGTGACTCCAGACGCACAGCAATGTGGTTGACTCATAACTACCCTCTGGGCAATTAGGGATGGGCAATAAATGCTGGCCTGGCCAACGACACCCTCCTCCCATGAATGATTAAAGTAAAGCTAAGGTGCAGATACAGCATGCAGAGTCTTATGAACAATGACAGCCAGGTCCTTCTGGACATCAACACTTACTAATCACTCAACATTTAATAAATCGGCACACCTCTCCTTCCTACCAAACTGGACAACTTAGTCACAGAGTCATAGAGCAGAGAAACAGACCCTTTGGTGCAACTCGTCCATGCTGATCAAGTTTCCCAATCTAAACTAGTCCCATTTGACCAATATCCTTCTAAACCCTTCCTATTCATATACCTGTCCAAATGTCTTTTAAATGTTGTAACTGTACCTGTATCCATCATTTCCTGTAGCAGTTCATTCCACATATGAACTACCCTCTCTGTTAAAAAGTTGCTCCTCAGGTCCCATTTAAATCCTTCTCCCCTCACCTTAAAAATATGCCCCCTAGTTTTGAACTCCCCACCCAGGAGTTTGATGGAATGCTCTCACTTGCCTGAATGGGTTTAGCTTCAACAACACTCAAGAAGCTTGACGCTATCCAGGTCAAAGCAGCCTGTTTGATTGGCATCACATCCACAGGCATCGACTCCCTCCACCACCGACTCTCAGTAGCAGCAGTGTGTACTATCTAGAAGATGCACTGCAGAAATTCACCAAAGATCCTCAGGCAGAACTTTAAAAACCCATGGCCATCTAGAAGGACAAGGGCAGCAAACATATGGGAACACTACCACCTTCAAGTTCCCCTCCAGGTCACTCACCATCCTGACCGGGAAATATATTGTCGTTCCTTTATGGTCACTGAGTCAATATCCTGGAATTCCCTCCCTTATAGCATTGTGGGTCAACCCACAGCAGGAGGACTGCAGCGGTTCAAGAAGGCAGCTCACCACCACCTTCTCAAGGGCAACTAGGGATGGGCAGGAAATGCAGCTCAGCCAGCCATGCCCACATCCCATAAATGATATTAAAAAAATCTCATACAGATTCTAGAAATTTGCCTTCCAAAGCATTTGTGCTCATTAGATTTACCCAGACCATACATGGGGTTAAATCAACTATAATAATTGCATTACCCTTGCCATGTGACCTGTAATTTCTAGATTTATGCCATGCCGTTCGTGGCCTATAAACAATGTTTGCTGCCCCTTGTTCACTGTTACTTAATTCCACCCAACTAGATTCTACATCTTGTTCTTCTCTCAATACAAAATAAGAACCTCTCTCAGTAATTTACTTTAATCCCATCTTTCATAACCTGCACTAATCCACCTCCTTTTCTCTTTCGCCTCTCATTCCTAAATTCAAATTCTTGAACATTCAGATCCTAGCCTTGGATAACTTTCAGCCTTGTCTTTGAAATGGAAATCATATCATACCCATTTACTTCATTGTTGATTACTGTAAACCCATCTGGTTCACTATGTCCTTTAGAGAAGGAAACCTGCTGTACTTACCCAGTCTGGTCTACAGATAACTCTAGACCCACAGTAACATGGTTGACTTTTAGCTGACCTCTGAAATGGCCTAACAACCACTCAGTTGTAGCTAATTGTTAGTGAAATGTCTGAAGGCATGAAACCAGGCAGACTGCCCGACTTCAACCTTGGAACTGGAAGCAAGAACAGAACACCCAGCTCTGTTAATCCGACAAAATCACCTTTACTCGTATCTGGGGTCACAGCTGCACAATTGTAGGATTCCCTCTAACACAATCACTACACCTCAAGAAATTCACAACATGGGAGATGTCTTGTGATGTGAAAACACAGAAATGCAATTTCTCATGAAGTAAAACTCCTTAACATTAAATTATCCAATTGATATAGTATTGATTAAATAGCATCCATGATATATTCCCCCGTTTAGTAGCTCCTGAACTTCCACAGCCTTAGAGTCCACATTCATTTGCAAAGAATCCATTAATTCACTGGCTTCAAATTTGCCAGTTTCCCAGTTAACTGAATAATCCTTTTTAAAAAATTATTTTCCCCCTTTGCAACTCCTCTTCACCTTTTTGCAGTACCTCACTACCCTGCAGCACCACTCCCCATTTGCAACTTCACCTTCCCCCATACCTTTGGCCTCCCTAACGTTACACTGCTCCATAGGCTCATCGGGCCTCCTTCCTTGCCAGCTTGCTCCCTGGGCTCCAGCCTCACCAGTCTCACTTCCCACTCTCCTAACAACACCTCCTGGCCTTGCTAGGTCTGGCAT